ACTTCTGATTTTTTTGGCCTCATGCTTGACAACTAGGCTATGAGCGCTATTTCCTTAGAAAAATTAGTAGGCTTGGACTAATAGCTGTTGAAATTGTCATAAAGTTTGTTTTGGATCTGAAAGTATTGTTAATTTTTTGAATTTTGGTCACAGAACTCAGCAGTCTTGAAGGATGTTCCAAGTTACGTTTGTGATTTATCCGCCCAAAATTCAGACTGCTTTGGAGTATTTTTCTTGTGACGAACGTGCTGAATCAAAATATCGTATAAGAGCCGTTAAACGAGAAGAGCTAAGACGTAGACGTCTGTCCGACATTTTACAGGACAGGGAAAGGTGTCTCAAGCAAAGTGCAGCGTCTATTAAGGTTCCATCCTTTTTCACAGCATAGGTTGTTCAAGTATTCTTATTTCTGTTCTGACCTTAAGAAACGACAAAGTAATTTTTGTAATAAGTTTCAAATTTCGATCTCATTTAAATGAAAAAATTATATATTTGGGTCACTTGAAACGATCTTTCTGAAACGCTTTTATTACAGGTAATACGTTGTTGTCTTCGCGCAAAAAAGTCACTTAAACAGTTTTGCAATATGTGTCATATTAGAGGCACATCAAGGGAATCAGGGGGTATTTGTTACCGTTACAACGTCCTGTATCCTGGCAAACGAATGGTACGGCCAAACAGCTTAACCTGTCAAGTACTTTTTGGTCGCCTTCCAGAAGGTAATATACTGTTGCGGTTTTTAGATGCGTGCCCTTACCTTATTTCTTAATTTTAGAGACTATTTTGAACGAGTGTTGCCAGATTTGGAGCCACAAAGAGAGTATCTCTTTTTATGAAACGTATGGGACAAATTGTGGAAGATACAAATTAGCGCTGAAGCTTCATTACTACATTCGTGATAGTAATGTGGCGGATTTAACGTTCCCTTTTGACAGTGAAAGTATTTCTGGCAGATTTTGTGATCGAAACATTACGTTACGGTAAGTTACAGTAAACTGGTTTTGTATCGGTAAATTCGAACATAAATGCTTGTTGTACGCTATTCGCAGTAAAATTGTTCTCCATATCTCTCATTTCTTTCTGCTTCTCCTTGGTAGGAGCTCACACTGGCAGAAATCTTACTTGAAAGGAGGGATGTTATTCTTGAGAAAGCGTCGTCTTTTTCAGGAGAAAATTTTCCTATATTCCTGCCCCCTTTCTCTCTATCATCTTTACATAAGGAGGAGGAGCTCGAAGAACACTGTAGAAGCGGGTACCTCAAAAAGAATTAGTCAGCGATTTATTGTTGCTGCTTACTTTTTTATAATGCTACCAGGTAAACTGGCAATGGAAATGAATTTCTTGTCCAAAAATTAGTTAAAAGTGATGCAAGGTATTTGTTAGGTTCACAGGCTTTCCGTTTTGCAGTGGATGATTTGTGCACTTTTCTTTTAGGAGAGAACACATAAATAATGAACTTGGAAATGCTACAGTAGTAACTTTGCAAAATATTGGACCTGCGAATGGGTTAAAAAATAGGGCTGTGGACACAAAATAGTTTTACTGTTGCTGCTTAATGCTTTACTGAAAGTTATGTGGTTTACTTTATTTACTGAGAAAATATGCAGGGGGATGCGCAGACTTTATTTGGTTTTTTCTTCTAAAAGCATCACTAATGAATTTTTATATGCTAAAGCCCTCTTTTTATTGAACAGTGATGGAAAAGTGAATAATTATACAATATTTAATCAGGAACTTCAATATATTCACTTGTGCAGATACTGAGTGTTTTGATTTGATTTTGAAATCAAAGATTTTGAATAACTAGGTAGAATCGTGCAACTGAAAATAGGACATTTTCTTCGTCTGGAAATTCTACTCCTTTTTTCATCGGACCTTTTTTTGAATCTTTTTCTTCTGTCAAGGGTGGAAGAAAAGGGAAGAGACAGCTCCCAGCATTACGCAGATATATGCAGCTCCTTCTTTTAATGTCAATGTTAAGTTTACTTCATTAAGAAAGCTGAAATGGGGGTCGTATGAGAGAGATTTTTTATTTGCTTTCTAGTTTTTAGGTTTGCAGCTGTTGATGTACTGCACAATGATCACTGGATAAAGAAGTTGTCGTTTCCGTTCAAAAGTAGAACTTCAGTTATTTTAATAGATTCCAGAAATGAAAATGTTTATCTGCTGCATGACAGTTTCTCCAGGCTCGTTAGTTTCAAAATTTTGAAGCTCAAGAAACAATGAGTAATACAGTGCCCTGGTTAATGAAAGACAGAACTACATGAATGTTGATTTCCTGTAGTTGTTTTTCTAAATATAGTTGCTGCTTTTAAATTCTTTTTCACTTAACTCATTTATTTTGGTTCGATGTTTTAAACAGCGATTTTAGAAACGCACTTCGTGGATTTATTCGTGGTTTTTATGCCAAATCGCTTGATCCTTATCGCATAACCGAAAGAGATAACAATTCTTCAGTGAGAAGAGGTATGGGAGGAAACTTAATTAGGAGGACGACATCTGCTGATTTCGAAACGGTTGTTATGAAATTGGTAAATACTTCTTTTTTCCCACTCTTGTAAAATTGTCTATTATAATGGCAAATGCGAGACTATTCAGCAGTTAAACAAGGATGCTGTAGTCTTCTTTTCCGGTGGTGACTGGCATGGACCTAGTTCTTCTGTTTTTTATGTGTATCATACCGTTGCCAACTACTTTCGTCAGTTTGCTGACGGGATACAATTTTTCATGTATGACCTTACTCATCTTTTCATCACAACATTTTCATATTTATACCTATTTCAAGAGTGAAGAGGCCTGTCTAAGAACTTACAGATGTGGCTGGCGAAATAAATGGGAAATAAGTTTTTAGGATTGATGTTTCTAAAAATGAGCTACCTTGGCCATACAAAATGGAAAAACTTCCTGCAGCAATTTTCTTCCCAGCTAAAAGGTTAGGACACTTGGAAATCTTTTTATTTTTTGGCACTTCAGCCCATAAAGCACTAAATTTCGGTAACGCTTTTATTTTTTTTTAATAAGGAAAGTTAGCACCGTTCCAAATATGTTTCTTGGTGAAAGGTCATTTCATCTAGAATTTCAAAAACTTAGGTCATAACACTGAATTCAAAATCTGTTTCAATTTTAAGGTCAGTTCACCCTAACCTTTTCTTAAAAATATGTAAGTGCGATTACTCAGGAGTTTGCCTTGCCCAGTAGATGGCTGATCATATATTGCTAGTGTCTGGAGGTTTATTTCTTTATGCTTCAAATTTGTTCCCATTTGGTTTTTTTTGAAAATGGTCTGGTGCATTGTAGCCTTTTGTTTTTCCCTTTGCCTTGACAAAAAGGATGATTGGTCGCGACGAAGAAAATTCCAATATTTTTTCTAGAAACTTCAAAATCCATCAAGTTCCTCGATATGTGATTCCTGGTTTGATTAAATGAGATGTAGTGCAGTAAAGCCAGAATTTTATCTGTAGATGGAAGTGAGTTAAAAATAATAATCAAATCGGATCTGAATTCGGCTGTGCATTAAATGGGACAAAAGACTTGAAGTTAGCTACTGAAGATTTTTTAATTGTCTGCAAAGTACATGCGTAGAAAATCTTAGGCACAGACGGAAGGTTCTAGATGGGCATGATTTTTTATTAATCAGAACCAATCTTTTTTCTACTTGCAATTGAAGGTTGGAAAAAGTATTATTTAGGGCAACAATAAAGGATTTTAGTTTTGGAATGTTACAGCTAGATTACCATTAGAGTTTCGAATTGGGCCAACATCTTCATTTTTGCGACAGATGGGATTTGATGTAAGAACTAGGGTGAAATGTTACTGGTGGAGAGTAACATTCGTTTCACTCTTGAGTGGATGAAAGCGCAAAGGAATTACAGTTCAATGAGATGATGGGGACCTACGTTGTACTATTCCATAATGACAGAGAAATAAATGTCTTCAAAATCTCCACAATGGAGAGAGGAGGGTTCTTGAAGTAAAGCTCTAAGCACTCATCTCTTATACCACATACTGTAAAGCTTTCTTAAGCAGTGCGTAACTTTATTCATAATAATGAAAATGACTTTTTCATCTTCTAAACAGCTGCATTAACTCTTGCTAAAAAAGAGGCCTGTAATTTGTCGAAAACCACAGTTTATAAATTCGAAATTTTCAGGAGATCCTTCTCAGCAAACCTGCCTGCCTCGGTACCATTCACAGTTCCTAACTTGATTTCATTTATTACGGCTCATTGTGGGCCAGAACTGCGCTGGCGTATCGCGCTTTCTTCTTGCTCTGAGTTATGCTTACGTCGAAATAAGATCCGCTTGCGAAAACGAGCAGCAACACTGGTAGCCGATATCGTTGTGTTGAGAAGCTTGAAAAGAGATTGTACTGAAGTTCAACACAAAAAACTTATAGGAGCATCTATATACCGGTATTTATTTGAATAATGGCTTTTTCTTTTTTGCCAAAAACCTGACACTTGTTATTTTTCCAGGAAACAAGCTCAGCTACGTGTAACAAGAAGCGTCCTGTCACTTCTGCGGACGCTTCATAGTTCGACCAGAGGAAGAGTACAGGAGGAAGCAGTATTAATAGCTCACAGAACGAGTTTGACAGAGTCCTTGCTAGAAAACTTCTCTTTAGCTTGAAGGTTCTTCTGCGTATTGTTTGTCCGGTGCCAGGAGCTGGTTGATACTCAACGCCTTCTTTTCTAGTTACCATAAGTTCAATTTCTAATGTGATTCACGGTTTTTTCATTGCGGGTTTGCTTTTGAATGTTTCGGAGTGTATTTCTTCGTGCTGCCCTTCGTTAAAACTGAGTGCTCTTTTAATTTTTTTCGGTAATTCTTCCCGGCAATTTTGGTGTAAAATTCTGTATATTTAATTCTGTTATTTTGTTCTTTCTACTCCACTACGTAAGTTTCTAAGAGTGAGTAACAAGATGGGTGGACCCTCCTTTGAGTAGGTGATGCACGTCTCCAGCATATCTTAAAAGGGAGCTGAGATGGCAATTTGCGTACAGTGTTTAGTTTGTTTCTGCAGCTTTTAGCGGTGTTAATGGTGCAAGTCATGTTTCCTGTTTAGACCTCAAGAAATGGGCCTCAGCTGTTTACATGGTAAAACGATGCAATTACTTGCTACTTTTAAAAAATGTCACTTTTGAAAAGACTGGGACTTATCGGTTTGCAGTAAGGTTTCGTCACACTCGGGCGTTGCCATCTAAAACATGGTAGAAGATGCGGTTTTTTGTCCACTTCGTGTGCACCTCCATCGACTCAACCTCACAAGTTTCTGACCATCAAACTCTTCAGCTGCCGGTGGTTCCTAGTCACCCTATTGTATAAGTTCAACGTCGCGCTCCTTGAAGTGAACGTCTAAAACAAAACCACTGGCGTTGGGCTTCGTCATTCTTATCAAACTGGACCTGTACGTACCGTACTACCAAGAGCATTTTCCTCACAGGTACCTGGGCTTAATGAACATGCAGCTGCAATGTTGTCGTAAGTCTAAATGCTGGAGCAGAAAACTGTAACTTTTTGGAGACCGGGAGCACAGAGCTGCTGAACAATTGTGTCGCCAAGATAAGTTGAGCGCCTTCGTTCTTTCCAAAACACACTTTTTGTAACTGCATAGCCACTTAGTCTTTGCGGAGCGACAAAAGTAACAAATTCCAACCGTTTCCTAAGAACTGCAAATGGCGAGCTCCACCTAGAAACAAAGCTACTGGTTGAGCTCCATTTCCCAAAGAAGAGTTTAAAACCACGAACTCCGATTCAGAATCAGCACTTTTAAAGGGAGAAAATAAAAAAAACTGCAGCTCGACAGGGCAGATTATTGGAACATGGTTGTGTAAAATTTTATGCATATTTGCTGACGTCAACAAATTTTCTCGTTGGTTAAACCCGTAGAACACACAACGATTCAGACTGGCTTTCTACTAGGGACATTTTCTTTAAACATTAAGACGGTAGTTACTAAAAAGCCTATTAGTTTTTCCAACTTCAAAGAAAAAACACTGGGTCTGAGATAAGTCATGAAAGGTTCAAAGAGAAAAAAATTTTGCACCAACCTAACAATTAATTCATTCATAATATACAAAAATGATATCCCGTTTGCCGACACTCTTCAATAACAAAAACAATCAAAGATTCCAAGCATCAAACTAGTGGCCCAAAATGAAAGACCGCGCTGGCGTCATTTTCAGCTTCAATTTTTGGTGATTCAGGAAGATGAGTCCTATCTTCTTTCGACTCCCACATCAATCTGCAACAGCGTTTGAACAGATGCCAGTAAAAAAATCCATGACCCAGACTAAGTAATGTCATGTCAACCGATAACTTTTCAGCAAAAATTTTTTCAAAATAAACGTACCTTTTGAAGTGTTCAATTTCTAGCTCAAGAGGATCTAAAAATTCCAACTCAGAATCCGGCCTTGGTTTGAAAGTTTCATGAGGATCGAAATTCATAGCTGCTATAGCTGAGGAGATCCTTGGATCACCAGGAGTGAAAATTACCGGATCCAAAAGCGGGAACAACGAATTATTCCCCACATCTGCTGTTAGCTGCTTCGCTTCCAAATCATAGTTTGTTAATGGACTTGGAGCTGCTGACAAGAAAGCTTTTCGCGTCTCATTTCGTTTTGCAATCACTGCGGCAGTGAAATGGCTGGAACCTGGGGGTACAAATTCTCGCTGTGAGTTCTGCAAAAAAAAAAAAAAAAA